AGAGAATGATTCGATTTGGGTGGTAATGGATGGACTGATGAAGTCAATACATTTTTATTCCAGCAAGGACTAACTATACAGCTGAGATGTATGCGAGGATACCTATTCAAGAGACTATTCGACTTCATGGAATTCCAGATGCGATAGCATCAGATTGAGATTTCAGTGTTCATTCCACATTTTTGGGAGGGTTTCCAGGATTCTTTTGGGCAACAGATTTATCGTACTGTAGTGCATTTCATCCATAGATGGATGGTCAGATGGAGAGAGTAAATTAGATGTTGGAAAATAGATGCCGGGCTTGTGTCATTGACTTTCAAAGTAGCAATTCGGAAGACGGAAAAAGGTTACGACGAGACACATTGGGCCGTATCAGATTTTGGAGAGCATTGGAACTGTGTCATACAAACTAGATCTTCTAGAATCGATGTCTAGTATACACAATGTATTTCTTGTTTCTATGCTTAAGAAACAATTACGTGATGAAGAACAGTAGTGAGTGTTGAACGCATTAGAAATTTAGCTTCAGGATGGTTTGACTACGATTGAAATCCCAGTTTGTATACTTGCTAGAGAAGACGAGAAATTTAGAAACAGATATTTTTTTTCCCCTTGGAGAAAACTCAGTGGAACCAGAAAGGAGTTGAGATGATCTTCAGGGTCGCGAAGATGTTATGCCGCGCGACTTCCTGAACCTATTGAGGAAGTGCATTGATTTATGTGTACGATTATTTGTGTGGTTATATTTTGATTTAACGCTAGTATGAGGATATTTTCAATTAATTCTTAATCTTTCGGAACACATGGTATATATATGGGGGGTTCCTTGTTTGGATTTTTCACCCGATGTACTAGTTCCACTAGATTAGGATTTTAGCGAAAATATTATCATTTTAGATCGTTAAGTATAAATATCTCTATATGTTTATCTGGAAGTTCATGTTGTGAGATGCGTATGGTTTCCGAATTTCGAGTGTAAAACCCCGAAATTTTATAATGAAATGGTGTGATTAATAGTAATAAATCTTTCTTTAGTGATAAATAACCATACATATATATGAGATATATATGTTTATCAGTGTTTGGGAACCCACCAGGTGTTAGTAAGTGAGAGTAATCGAGTAGTAGCTGGCCAGCACAAAAAATACCTGAACCAGACATTTTAGTGCTGACCGGTCGACCGGTACGGTCGACCGAGCAGCGGTCAGTTTGTTTTCCAGGTTCCTCTTTTTACGATTTCGGTTTTGGGCCTTAGAGGGTTTCGGGTCGGGTTTAGAAAAGGGTATATAAGCATCTGCTCACGAGAGAGCCTCCAGGGGTTCTGAAATCAAAACCCTAAAACCCCTCTCCCTTCCTTTAAACCCTAAGCCTCTGTTTTGATGATTTGGGGAAGCTCTTGAGGATTTTTTCGGCAGGATTCAGGGATTTCAGTAAAGGGAAGCAACCTACTGAAGATCTAGGGCTTTTGTCAACACTCAAGGCGAGTATCATCTCGCCCAATCCCTCACCCCTATTTTTCTATGATTTTATTTCGATTTTTCATGAGTTTTTGAAGAGCCCAACTGGTATTTTTGTATAAAATTAGTTCTTTACATTATGGGTTGCAAGAATCGACATTTCAGTTTATGAAAGTTCACCAACGTTTTGTCTAACAAAGATCTAGATCTGAGTTTTCTTAAACAAGAGTTAACCATGATTTACTGTCATTTAAAACGTTTCTAATTTGTTCCTCATGTATTTTGAAATATTGGGAATATGGATTTTATGCTTGAGACTAGTTATTTTTCTTCAGAACGTTAGAACTTGTTACCGTAGGAGTTCTGTCAAATTTTGTTTCAGGTTTCGAGCTGACAGAAACCCAGAATTGGGTTTCTGTCCGCTCGGCGGTCGACCGGCGCGGTTCGACGCTGAGCTCGATTTTAAGTTTCGGTCGAGCACGCCGCTATTCGGCCGACGCGCATTATTTCGGTCGACGCCTCGTCATTTCGGTCGACCGCGATTATTTTCGGTCGACGCCGCAGACATTATTTCGGTCGACCTCCGAAGCGGTAGTATCAGAGATCGGTCCCGACGACTCCGGTCGACGATCGCCTGTCCTGTGGTATTTCCTGGTTTTGGGGTATTGTCATTTCACCTCCATATTTGGCGAGTTTAACTAGACTAACTGACATTGGTATTTAGTCTTGCTATGTACCCAGGCACAATAGATGACCTGAGGGCATCAATTGTGGATATATACACTGATATGATTATGAATTGACATAAGTAGTTTTCACTATATACCACAGCGATATTTTTTTTCAGTTTCTAAGTCCTCGTGTGTTGGACTATGATTTATAGAAGTCCTTGAGATTTGGACTGTGAGTTATGAAAGTCCTCGTGTTGGACTGTGATTTATAGAAGTCCTCGTGTTGGACTGTGATTTATAGAAGTCCTTGAGATTGGACTGTGAGTTATGAAAGTCCTCGTGTTGGACTGTGATTTATAGAAGTCCTTGAGATTGGACTGTGAGTTATGAAAGTCCTCGTGTTGGACTGTGATTTATAGAAGTCCTCGTGTTGGACTGTTTGGAGACTACGACATAAATAGTTCCTGATTTGGACAAAGTTCTTAACCCTGCTCATGACTTCTTCATAGAAGTTCACGACATGATGTTGACATGACACTTATGTAAGTAATAACATGGTATTCATGTTAGCTATGGTATGGCACTGTATACTGTTCTGAGATTTGCTGTATTTCTTTTATTATTGTTACTGTACTAGAACCTCGGGTTTGGTGTTTAGAGATTTACAATTTGAGATACAAGGTATATACATGAGGGTTTCCTTGTTTGGATTATTTCGCTCGACGTACCTATGCTCGTGTTGTAAATTTCTAAATACTTAAACCCTCTTTAGTAGGATCAATGATTTTAGATCTATTATATATATTATCTGTATTTTCTTATGCAACGAGCCCTGTTCCCTTGGGGTTGGTTGTGATGTTACTCGCTAGCGCTTTGACGCTCATTGTCCCTCCCCCTTTCAGGTCATGAGCTAGGAGCACGGAGAGCCGCAGGTTGATAGCGAACCACATTAGTGTTCAGCTTTACTTTCTAGCTATGTATTATTTTTCTTTGGGCTCCACTGTAGTGAGGTTAGACATTTGAGAGTCTTGTTCTAGAAGTTGTAAAGGCTGTATTATCATTTCTGTATTGTTCTGGATTATGTATTTCTGTATTGTTGGATGATGAGATATTTATGTGACTAGTTTATCTACTCAGATCTTGGCTATGTATTTCTGTATGTGGGATGATGAGATATTTATGTGACTATTAGCATTTCATCAGTCTTCCTTGTATTATCTTTTACCTGTTTTGTACCTACACCAGTTGTTGATTCTACTAGATGGATGTTAACTGTGATGGTGAAACATGTTATTGCACGGTGTGGTGCATAGCAGGTTTGACATTCTTGGTTTCACCTTGGACTGCAGCCTTGTGTGAACCCAGGGGCGTCACACCCTGAGATTATCTCAAATGGTCCTGTTCTCTCTGATATTCAGCGCAGTATGTTAAGTGCTCCAGTTTCAAGAGATGAGATAAAGAAAGCAATCTTCTCTATGTCGGATGAGAAAGCTCCTGGTCCTGATGGCTTCAATGCCTCATTCTTTAAATCTGCTTGGAATGTGATTAGTGAAGACTTATTCCTGGCTGTAGAGGAATTCTTTTGTTCTGGAAAGCTTTTGGGTGCATTCAATAACACATTGATTACTCTTATACCAAAGATCCTAAATCCCAAATCACCATCTGATTTCCGTCCAATATCATGTTGTAATTGTGTTTATAAGATCATCTCAAAGATCATTGCTACCAGAATCCAAAGTGTGATGGGATATCTTATATGTGATGCACAGAGTGCTTTTGTTAAGGGGAGGGTTATCTCAAATAACATTTTACTGGCACATGAGCTAATCAAGCATTATGGGAGGAAGCATAATTCTCCAAGAGCTATTCTCAACATTGATCTCAGGAAAGCTTTTGATACTATTGACTGGGATTTTATTGAAGCAATGTTAAAGGGTTTAGGGTTCCCTGAAAATATGGTAAAATGGATCATGGTTTGCATCACTTCTCCTAAATTCTCATTATCTCTTAATGGAACTTTGCATGGATTCTTCAAAGGTGCTAGAGGGCTGAGGCAGGGGGATCCACTTTCCCCTTATCTATTTGTCATAGGCATGGAGTATTTGTCAAGAAAATTGAATACACTGAAGGATGACAGATTATTCAGGTATCACCCTAAATGCTCTAAGCTGAAAATTACTCATCTATTTTTTGCGGATGATCTGCTATTATTTGGAAGAGCTGATATGAATTCAATTATTAGACTCTACAACTGTCTCAATGAGTTTAGTAAGGTCTCAGGCTTGGAAACTAATCCTAGTAAGTGCTCGATATTCTTGAGTGGCATTGATGACAATCAAAAAATGCAAATCTGTTCATATTTGAAATTTACAGAAGGGATCCTTCCTATGAGGTACTTGGGTATGCCCATGATTTCTAAAAGACTTTCATGGCTGGACTGCTCCCCTCTGATCAGTAAAATTTCAGATCAGTTACAGCATTGGCAAAAAAAGAAAGCTCTCTCTTATGCGGGGAGGTTGCAATTGATTAAGTCTGTCATCTTAGGTGTTCATCTTTTCTGGACCAATAACTACATTTTGCCATGTAAGGTGCTGAAGAGAATTGATAAAATGTGCTCTGATTTTCTCTGGGGTAATAAAATTCCACTAATTTCCTGGGCTTCAATCTGTCAGGAGAAAGAGTATGGGGGTTTAGGAGTATTTTCAGCAAAAGATTGGAATTATGCTGCTGCCACTAAATTACTATGGATGATTCACCTCAAGAAGGATCTACTTTGGATAAAATGGGTTCATGAAAATTATTTGAAACGTTCTGATATTTGGAATGTTCGGATGAAAGCTAGTGATTCATGGATGTGGAAACGAATGTTCGGATGAAAGCTAGTGATTCATGGATGTGGAAACAACTCTTGAAAGTTAGAGATTTGATGATAAGAAGATATGGAAGTATCAGCAATCTAATAAACATCATTGAAAGTTGTTGCAAGAGTGAAAATGTCCAAGTTTCCTCTGTATACAGAAAACTGGTTCAACCTGCACATATAGTTAGCTGGAATGGTACAGTTTGGGGTGGTTTTCATTATCCCAAACACTCATTTATACTTTGGTTAGCTATCCAATCAAGATTGCTAACTAAGGAAAGACTGTGTCGCATGAGAATTTTAGACGCTAATCAGAATCAATGTGTCTTATGCTCAAACCACATTGAAACAGTTTGTCACCTGTTCTTTGATTGCTATTACTCTGCTGCTGTGTGGAATTCAGTGATGGACTGGTTAAATTTCAGTTGGAGGTCATGTTCCTGGGGGGAAATCATTCACTGGTATAGCTGCAATTTAAAAAGGAAAGGACTCACTGAAAGTTTGAAGAAAATGGCCCTTTCATCCTCAGTGTATCATCTATGGCAGGAGAGAAACTTGAGGATTTTTCAGTTCAAAACTCGTCAACCTGATGTTTTGTTCCGTGCTATAAAGCTATCAATACTCACTAAAATCTTGAATGGGGAGCTTCCTGTACATATTAGGGAGAAACTTGAAAATTTGTAAAGGAGTATTTCTATAGAAGAGTTGCCAGACTAAGTCTGGTTAAGTGATGTATATAAATTTTCATATTGGAAAATGAATAAAGTTTTCATTGACCAAAAAAAAAAAAAAATCTTTCACTTGCATGCAAACAAACACCCCCTTATACTTTTTCATAACACGGTTTCATTGACCTTGGGTCTTTGAACCATGGTTTAGGAAATGCTATGCGGTTAGGAGGCCAAGTAAAGTGGAATCATGGTCTCGCTAAAGGAAGCCAGGTTGCCAAATAAGGCCTAAAGGTGCTATTTGTTTTGAGTGTAGATTTTATGAAGTTACCTTAGGATGGATTTATAAAGTCATATTTGGTTGGATTTATAAAGAAGTTATGGATAAAGTTATTCCACCTATTTCAGGATATGTTTATTCTCAAAATTCTGCAACTACCCATTTGAATACTTGTACCCTTCACAAGTCTCATTTGCAGTTAGGTACAATTGAAGTTTTGAAACAATTCTTTTTTCCCTCGATTTCAAATTTGTGTTTGGCAAGAATAAACATAATTATTTCACTTATTTCCCCCCTTAACCCTTTGGTTGAAAACACCAAAGTGTTTTGTAATTTACCAGTACACATCTCAATTAATGGAATTGTCTTTTTTTTCTTTCTTTCTTTTTCTTTCTTTTTTTTCGTTCTTTTTGAGCAGAAAAATAGGGGAAGATCCCCATTCATTTCATTCATATATAAAAAGATGGACACGAGGTGGTGTCCTACAAAAATTAAAGTAGAAACGTATTTTTTCTCTCAAATTGGTACACAAGACCTTCTCCATATTTACATCAATGAGGATGACGAGAGGACCCTAGCCATCATTAACCACAACATAAATACAAATATGGACCAAAGTCAGCCACATGACCAAAAGAGGAGAGAAAGAAAAGTTTCTAGCCTGAAAACTAGCAAAACAAAAGTATACATGTGTTTATCTACTTCTAGCAGCCTCAAAAGAAGATAAGTAGTTACCAAAAAAAAATTACAAAGCAGATTAAAGACTTGGGGTGACAGGTTATACTCTAGGTCTTCTTGCCTCTTCTTCTTCTTGCATCTATCCTATGTCAGCCTCTTCTTGCACTATCTGAGCCTCATGCCTTCTTTCTAGATTTCTCGAGACTGAAATTGATGGGAGTTCTTGTCCTTCCATCGCTAGCTTGAGAGCCTTTGTAGTTTTACCTAATGATGAGTCTGTCCATTCATTGATAAAGTGAATTGAAGAGTTAATAACACTTTCGACACTAGGTGTTACATTGTGAAAGACCCTATTGCTCTGTGCATGTCATAATTAAGTACCAACATGTACATGTAGCTGAAAACAGCTCGATTGACAAATAGTTCTTTGTTTAGCTGTCCTAAGAAACCCTCCTTTAGAATGGATGATATCATACAAGTTGTTTGACCATCCATTATGGCCAAAATGAGAGTACTGAAAGAAGCTCGAGATATTTGAAGTGAACTGACAAGTAACAAATAGGTGATTAGACTCTTTCAATTCATTAAGGCAGAGAGAACATCTTTGATCACCCTGCCACCCTTTCTTAATTACTCAAGTGGACTTTGGTATTGAGCTTATTGATAGAGAGCAGCCAGAAAAAAAAAATGACTTTGAGAGGGAAGATGGATTTCCATATTTGCATCGGGAGGTGGGAGGATACACCTCTACTAATAGTAAACTTGTAAAGAGAGTTAACAGAAACTCCCCTGAGTTAATGGAATTGTTGTAAGCAGAAACAATGAATTTATTGGAGATGCACTAACTTCATAAGAAATAATGTCTACAATGTACTGCACACTAAACATCAGCGGTATACTTTTTATTACTCTGATATAACTATACAATGAGGGTAGGTGGTAGCTAACACCATAGGAATTTAATTCGTGTGTTCTTATACTAATTTATCCTTGATTTTTTGCTTATAGGTAAGAAAATGAATGATACTAGGTGATAATTTATCCCAAATTTGTTGGCTTTGACAATAGGATCGGCCAAGTTCAGATCTGGAAAGACTGAGTACACAACCTGTAAACAAAGATTTCTAGGACCGGACAGCACCTGTTTTGCAAACACCCGAACAGCAGCAAAGCACCCGAACCTGGGAGCTTTCCTTTGGGACCAAACAGCAGCAACCAGAGAGCTAATGCTCTGTTTTGGAGGATTAACAGAGGCTGGAATAATGACCTCCTGTTTTGCTGACGAACACAACACAATTAGATGGACCAGGAACCTTTTGAGGTTTTATTAACGTTCTAAAAAAAATTACAAAGACTTGTTTACATATTTATAACCAATAACTAGGAAACCTATCCTAACTGGTATTCTACTATAATTAGAACTCTATCTAATAACATGGATTCAAAACTAACAATTCTATTCTAACTAGGACTGATTAACCACTCACATTCTCCCCCTTAATCTGGACTAGACTCTAAGTCCCTTACACCTAGCAGCTCTCGCATCTCGATGAACTTCACCCTTGCTAGTGCCTTCGTGAGAATATCTGCTCGTTGCTCGCTCGTGCTTACGAACTCCACTTTAATCTGTCCTCGCTCAACACACTCACGAATGAAGTGAAAGCGTGTGTCGATATGCTTGCTTCTTCCATGGCTCGCATCTCGATGAACTTCACCCTTGCTAGTGCCTTCGTGAGAATATCTGCTCGTTGCTCGCTCGTGCTTACGAACTCCACTTTAATCTGTCCTCGCTCAACACACTCACGAATGAAGTGAAAGCGTGTGTCGATATGCTTGCTTCTTCCATGGAAAACTGGATTCTTCATCAAGGCAATCGCAGACTTGTTGTCGACGAAGAGTGTAACCGGCTTGGGCTCACTCCCAATCACCTCGCTGATTAAACTCCTCAACCACAAGCCTTGGCACGCTGCTGCAGTTGCCGCCATAAATTCTGCCTCGCAGGATGATAATGCCACCGTCTTCTGCTTCTGTGATGTCCAAGTGACCAAACTGTCACCTAGATAAAATGCCATGCCGCCTGTGCTGCGCCTGTCATCAACATCTCCCGCAAGATCACTGTCAGTGAATCCCACCAACTCTTCATTGCCTCGACCTCGTTTGTACACCAATCCGTAGGACATAGTACCCTTCACGTACCTCAAAATATGCTTGACAACCTGTCGATGCAAAACTGTAGGGTGCTCCATGTACCTACTCACAATCCCCACGGCATATGTGATATCGGGTCGGGTGTGAGTTAGATACCTCAAAGATCCGATAATGCGTCTATACTCCGTCACGTCCACCGGTGTTCCTTCGGAATCCTTTCCAAGCTTTAGCTTTGTTTCCATAGGATATTGCGTCGGGTTGCAATCCATCATGCCGAACTGACCCAAAACTTTCTTCGCATAGGCCGCCTGCCTTAGCGCAATGCAATCACCTCGCTGATCCACCTCGATACCAAGATAATAGGAAAGCAATCCAAGGTCACTCATCTCGAACTCCTTCATCATCTGTTGCTTGAAAAACTTTATCTCATCCGCCCTCAAGCCCGTAACGATCAAGTCGTCCACGTACACGCCAACAATGAGTGTATCCCCTCTGTTACTCCTTGTGTATACCGCCTGCTCCTGAGTGCATCTTGCAAATCCGATGCCCTTCATGCACTTGTCGAGGCGCGTGTTCCATGCCCGAGGTGCTTGGCGTAGACCGTAGAGTGCCTTTGAAAGCTTGTAGACCTTGTGCTCTTGATTCTTCACAACGAACCCTTCAGGTTGAACCACATAAACTTCTTCCTGGAGATCACCATTTAGGAATGCCGACTTCACATCCAAATGGTGCACCTCCCACCCGTTCTGTGCTGATATAGCGAGGATTATTCTGATGGTATCAAGCCTCGCCACAGGTGCAAACACCTCATCGAAGTCCACGCCTTGCTGCTGGACGTACCCTTTTGCTACAAGTCTTGCTTTGTGCTTGAGAATGTTGCCTTCATTGTCCTTCTTCAGCTTGTACACCCATTTGAGACCAATGGGTTTGGAACCCCGCGGTAACTCCGTGAGTATCCAAGTCTTGTTCTTCTCAATGGCCTCCATCTCCTTCTCCATAGCTGTCCTCCACTCTTGATCTGATGCAGCCTCGAGATAGTTTGCAGGTTCTTCTGTGATCAGGAACAACTCCTCTGCAGGGAGATCAATCACCTCCGTCTCTGCATAGATGTCCGCAAGGGATCGATAGCGTACAGGAGTCATCACTGCAGCTTCAGGGGGTCCGCTGCGAACTCTACCCAGCTGAGTGGTTCTACGTCTCCATCTGCGCTCCATTGCCATTCTTTTCCTTCCTCGAACACGACATCCCTGCTGACATGAATTCTGCCGTGTTGAGGGTCGTAGAGGCGATGCGCTTTGCTTCCTTCTTCTACCCCAATATACACCATTGGCGTGCTCCGGTCGTCGAGTTTCTTGTGCGAAGGACCTGCAATCTTCACATGCGCCATACATCCAAAAACTCTCAAGTGTTCTAGGTGGGGTTTCTTACCAAACCAAGCTTCGTAGGGTGTGTGGTCGTGCAATGCCTTGGTTGGTAGTCGGTTGAGTATGTACACCGCGTGTCTAACCGCTTCACCCCACATTGTTCCAGGCATATGCATGCTTTTAAGTAAGCTTCTCGCCATGGCCATCACCGTGCGGTTTCGCCTCTCCACTACACCGTTTTGCTGCGGGGTGTACGGTGCAGTGAGATGACGCTTGATGCCGTAGTCTTCACAAAACTTGGTGAACTCCTTTGACAAGAACTCGCCACCACGATCCGTCCTCAATGTCTTCACCTTGTGGTCACATGCGTTCTCAACCTCTGTTTTGAACTTCTTGAAGGTTTCACAAGCTTGACTCTTGGCCTTCAACATGTATACCCACATCCATCGGCTGAAATCATCAACGATAAGAAGGAAGTAGTTGTTCCCAGCAAGTGTAGATGGGGTGATAGGACCACATAGATCAGCATGTAGTAACTCCAGCGGC